AGGGTGTTAAGTTGCACATATTTAAAGGATCAAAATAGAAGGGATAAAGTGATTCAACTTTAACCGCATCCAATAGCATATTTCATACAAAAGCCGAAGCTTGGGCCTTCTTTCAGCATATAAAGTTAGTACATCGCTCCTAGTTCAATGGGGGAAGTCTATATACTCTCACAAAAATTGCATAAGGCAGCAAAGACATTGCACTTAATTAGGAAATAACATACCCAACAAACAAACCCAACCACAAAATATTGAGATAGAAAGAGTCAAAAGCAAAGGGTGTTTGCATTGCAAGCTTATTAGTTTACCTTAAGAGGAGGATTATCAGGAGCCAATGCCTCAGCAACAAACTGTGGTCCAAGTGCTGAACCTCCAATTCCAACTGAAAGTACCTGAGTAAACCGACCAGCTGGAGAAGATGGTGGCTTAATCTGCAATTTTCAACGAACAACATTTCCTCTATTAAACACCCCAATACCTCTTATCAAATTTAACAACACTTCACAAATGCACATAGAAACACAAAAATCTGACCTTACCGCTGACGACGTCGTTCGAGAACTTAAGGAGACCCTCGAGCGTGTTCTCAATCTGCAACCTGAGAAACGAGTTGGGGGCGAGCTTAGGGTTCCTAAGCCAGTAATGGCCGACCATACGACCCTCATCGGGATTAGCAATCGCACCTTTCTCCAACTCCACCATGGCCTTAAAAGCCGCCTGTAACCGGGGCTCCATTTCCGAAACGAACTCGTCCGTAAACCCGACCCGACTCACATCCAAAAACAACCCGAGCTCCTTGTGCTGGTACAGCCAGTCAACGTACCGCCGCCACAGCGCATGCGGATCCTTCACCAGCCCCTTCTTCTTGGCCGGAGCCCCGTCGGCCGTCGACAACTCCGCCGAGATCTCCCGAGCCACAGACACAGAAAACCCCCGATCGGCCGATTTCGACCGGGCGGGGAATGAAACCGAAACGGAACCCGAGTCCTTCCGGAACAAACTCGTCGGTTTCAGGAGCGGTTTCTGGCGCTTGAGAGTTGGGGAAGCCGAGGAAATGCCTGAAATTGAAGCCATTTGGTTTGAGACTGAGGAATTTTGGGGCTTTTGGCCTCACACCATGTATGTGCCTCTGGTTTTTTCTTGGTGCTCGGGAATTGAAGTTGAGAAGTGGCTTTGTCTTTTTGGCTCTCTCTATATTTTTGTTGTGAGCGGGCGGCGTTTCACAAGGTTCACACGTTGATTGGTTGGTAGTTTTTTTTCATCGTCGACGAAAATGGGCCTCTGTTGGTCCTGTTATTACGGTAGTACCCTCGAATATTCTTCGTTTTTCTCCTGCGCGCTCTTTTTTGCCCTCTGGTCTTCGTCATTTGCCGGCGCGGGATTAGCTAACCCTTTAGGTCCTGAAAGGTCAATTTCGTCAAACGCTATCGATCCGCTTCAGTGCAGTTGATTATTTATTTTTAGCTTAGCATCAACGACGATTCACGTTATAGCCTCCCTTGCTCTCTTTTTTACTTTCTGTTTGAATTTTTTTTAAATACAAGCCATACTGTGATCTACACGGGTTTGAACCAGCGACCACTAATTTACAAATCAAAGGCTGATTCCGTTCACCTTTTCATTTGAATTTTTTAACATAGAAATTGAGCCAACATATTTTACTAAATTATATATATAAAATAATACATATGAAAAATATGCTAAAATGCAATTGTCAAGAACCTTCGTATGCATGACCCAATTAAAGGTAATTCCATAAGAACATCATTTTGTTTCCTTGGTGCCATGGCAAAGGACAAGGGCAAGTAAGAGCAGGCACTATTTATGTGAATAGTGGATAGTGGCAACCCTTGCAAAAGGTAAGTTGTATTTCCACCTATTGTCATGACAACCTAAGGGCAACCATTATTTACATGGGATTAATTTTATTTATATGTATGAGATTAATAATAATAAAATTGATAGGTATGTATAAAAAAAAATGTTTTTGAATTTGTTGGAAATTTTCAGAAGTTTTTTCGATTTTTTTTTTTTTTATAAAGTTGATGACATCAACGCTGACGTCATCGTCCTCATGCAACAGTTCATGTTGTTTTTGCCTTTGGATCTACCCGGGCTGCTTGCTTCGAGGGCCCGGGAGGCCTCCTGCCCGAGCTGGGAATAGCGCTCGAAGTGCTTTTAACCCACCAATATCACAAAAGGTAAAATGCCAACACATGATTATTTCATAATGTCATAACATATATTTAACAAATTAATTACCGGTAATTAAGATAATTTTGCACTCCACTATCACTTGTATCACTATACTTAATTAAGATAATTACCGGTAGTAATATTTCAAACCATAAGATCCTTGCACTAAATTAGGGTTCAACACTCTCTCACGTTGACTCATTTTATGAGACACTACAATGGCCTCCTCCCCCGACAAATGAGTACACAGAGGAATAAAAGGTTTTTAATATTGTTTGTACCATATCTGACCCTCCACTCATACGACGACACGTGGATTGGAGGAACTTACTCAAGTACCCAAGGCCTCGAATAATCGGCAACCCCTACCGATGGTATTGTCTCAAAGCAACAAACAAACGCTACAGGCCTACCTCATCTACAATCGGCATCCCTTACCGATTGTACAGAATCAACCTCGAAGTACCCGCCCGAAATATCTACGGACTCGTGTCAACCTCATAGGGCCCTCCCACGAGTCCCACATCGAAAGTAAGTACTAAAAGCACACAAAATGCCCCCTATAAATATACCCCTTCACCATAGTACAGGGGTAAGACTTTTCAGCTTGACTTCTATACTTCTATATGGTCAACAACAAGAGTTTATATAAACAATCTTACTTGAGCATCGGAGGGTCTTAGGCTGGTTCCACACCGGTTCCATAGACCTCACGGGCTTCGCTTATCTCCTATTCAGGATCAGCATCCGAAGATAGGAAGAATCTCCCTCTATCACTCAATCGATCTCCTAGATTGTCCACATATCTTGTAAGTTGCACTCATCTCTATCTGTTCAATTTTAGTGCCAACAAATATTTATCTATTTCTCAAATTAATATTTACATTTCGGTCCCTCAATCTTATAATTATAGTTATGTCCATGTCTCTAGTATTAGTGCATTGCGTGTATGTATTTACAAGTGTATAAGTAATTCGATTGCGCCGATAACTAGAATATTCAAAATATGTGACTCAAGTAATGCATTTATTCACTTTAAAAGATGCATTATTTCAAATTTGGATAATCACATATCTTCAATTTACTTCATACTTAACGATATAATTTGTTTTTAAAATTCCCAGCTGTAAAATGTCAATTAATGGGAGCAGTTGTGTTAGTTGAGCAGCTCATGGGTTCAACCCAAAAGAAAATGCAAAACAATTCGACATATATGTCTTCGGCCTTTTTCCTTTTTTCCTTTTCATGATCATGGCATCCAATATAAAACTATGACCTTGCTTCGGGTCAAGGTTGCAGATTTGGATCCGGGCCTTGGGTCCGGTATGCAATGTGGGCTCTGTGATTTACCAAACATCAGATTTTTTATTTTTTTATTTTGTTGTGGATCAAGTTTCATATTTCCTCCTAATATTTCTGGTTCAAGTTTGACAAAAAAAAAATATAACCAAAAGAAGGAAAATAGCTAAACAAAAAAGATATTTACTACTTAAAAGTTAAAAAGATATTTTCTTATCAATTCCGGACAAATGTCGTTATTTTTAGTTAGAAAATATAGGGTTTAGCTTTTATCATCACACAAAATATAGGATTAGTTAGAAAGAAGCAACTATGAACGACCAATTATAATTTTCCAACTCAAGTAAAAACTAAATTATATTTAAATTAAAAAATTTCTTAATACAAGTGATGATCTAAATTACTCTAATTTATAAGGAGGAAATTCGAACACTAGTACAAAAGAGTACACTTAGGGCTTGTTTGGTATATCGTATTAGACTCTGAATAGGAGTAAATAGTATATGTCAAGTGTTTGGTGTCAACTTGTATTATTTAATTACCTGACTATTTTATACGGATTGGGCTTTTAATACTCTCCACAAGTTATTTTCTTCACTTTTCTCTAGATATCCATCTCTCACTCTCTCTCTCTCTCTCTTGCATACTCTCTCCAATATGATTGTTCTTGCTTCTTCTCTCTTCTTTTTATATTTTATATTTTATTGAATTTTTGTGGAAATTATTTTGTTGTGGATGACTATCGAAGTTCTCCTTGTTCAAAATTGATTGCTATTGAATTGAAGTGTATATATATGCAGGCAGATCTTTTTTTTTTTTTTTTTTTGTGGGTGAGATGGGGGAAGAGCCCCAAAACAACTACACAGCAGTAATAAAGTGAGTTATATGAACTCCCATCATATCCTCATCTAGGCTAGCCCCTACCCAATTAGGAATATTAGCAAAGGAAACAAGTCCCAAATCAAAATTGAAACTCCCCTTAGCCAAGCAATCTACAACCATATTCTTCTCTCTATAGACGTGGTTCACCACACAATTATCAATTTGATGCATAAGCTCCCAGCAACTGGATAACAAAGTAGCCAAGGGATGTAAACTAAGGAGATTGGAATCTTGAAGGAGTAGAACTGCCGTAGTAAAAAATTTTGTGACATTTGAATTTCAATTTCCACTTAAATTATCAAAGATTTTTTTTAAAAAAATAGTATGATATGATGTTATCCAGAACAGCACCAACGTACTCTCCGAAACAGATTAATACTATCCGACAGAAATTAGTCAGTACAGTCTGACGTACCGAACGAGCTCTTAACTAACTGACGTAACCCACACATACCTTTTAATTAGATAATCTAAACACCGAACTCTGTGTAAATTTCTAGAAACCAGATATATTTGATAAATTTGACTGTTTTTGTGCTCATTTTTTGGGTCAATACATTGAGTTTTGGTAAAGATAGGAAAAAAAAAATGGAGCAAAGAGGAGGTTATGCATAAATAAACAGATAAAAAAACTTTACTTACATTTTACAAATTTATGCAGAGACGCATCGGCTCTCGCGATAAACAGAGAGAGAAAAGACAGCAAGACCACCTGAGGCTCAGCATATCATATCCCCCAACACCACATCTTCCAAAATTCCCATTTGCGCATCTCCCAAACCCACCGCCACCAAACAACCAGCATGATGTGGGACGAGTGGGACGACGCCAATTTCTCCCACACCGAACAACAGCAGCAACCCGACCCGGATTCCCACTTGAATTTCGATTTCTTCTCCGACCTTTCCAAGCCCAAGGTTTCTCCTCTTTCTTTTTAATTATTTTATTTACCGCAAAATTAGGGTTCTTATTTTTTGTTTTTGTCTTTTTTGTCATTTTTAATTTTCAATTGGGCAGCTTTTAATTTTCTATTTTACATGGATATTTAGGATTACTATAAGATATTGGAAGTGGATTATGATGCCAACGACGACGCCATTCGCTCCAACTACATCCGCCTCGCCTTGGTTTGTGGTTTTTCTCTTTCATACAATTTTTTTGTTTTTATTTATTTTTGTTTGTTACTACTTTGCAGTGCTTTAAAGTTTGCTTCTTTTTGCTCTGTCTGCAGAAATGGCATCCGGATAAGCAAAAAGACGAGGACAGTGCCACCACCAGGTTTCAAGAGATAAACGAGGCATATCAAGGTAACTGACTCACTTTCTTACCCGTTTTCATTTTGCTTATACTTTTGAGCTTTGCTTGGTTGGTTAGAATTTTTAGGTTGTCAGAAGAAGAAGCCTGTGTTTGGTGCAAAAATTTGAGCTTAGAACATCCTATTTGACATGAGTTATTTGTGTGCTAATTGGGGAGCATATGTCTTGATTTGGGTAGTAATCAGAGACTGTGTTATTAGATATGGCTTTGTGGGGTTTAATAATTTTCGGGCTAGGAAGTGGTGGTGTTCATGGTTAAAAAAATTTACAAGAGTATATGTTGGTGAAGACGTTTGTGGGATTTAAAAATCTCGTTTGGTGGTTTGCTGCAGCTACCTAACAATCGACCACTTAGGTAGCTGTTGCTTGTTAGGTAGCTGTTGCTGGTGTATTGTTAGTGGACTCTAGTGCAACATTTAGGTGTCATCACCATTGAATCATCCTACCCATTTAGCGTGTTTCAATCCTTTGTTCATTATTCTTGTACGTCTTTAGTGCTTTGCAGTTTGACTGTCAACTTGTCAGATAGGGTTTAATGAACCAGCTGTAGTATTTGGGAACATTATGTTCCCCTCTTTGCCAGATAAGAGTGTGAGGAAGGTGGCTCGAAGTTGGTATAGAATGTGTGTCTGAATTTGGTACACTTACAACAAGCACTTCAAGGTCAAATTTTTGGCACCTTTTATGGTTCTAATGATGAGAATCTCATTTTAGAGTTGTACATTTTGTAGCTCGTCTAGTTCATGCTGTAGCTGATTCAAACCCAATTTCATTAAAGAAATTGGCATGTCAGCAATTGTTAATGGCTCACCAACCTGTTATGACTAAGGCAATATTGAAGTAGATTTTGAACCCTATGGTGATAATAATTCAAGAGTTGCTTCAAGGAGAACATCTATGGGCAAACAATGACTTGATGCATGATTGCTTTATTACCAAATGTATCATGCACAATGTGAGGGAATAGTTAGACAGGCTTGCAAAAGAATATAGTGGGGAAAGTAAATATTTGCAGAATTGATTTTTCCAGCTTGTTCATTTTTGTTCTTGTGAATCCTTATAAGTAATGTGGGCGTCATCTCTCATGGTCAATATGTTTCATCCATTTAAGTTTCCCAACTTGATGAAGAGCTATCTAGAATTATTATCTTAGATATGTGTTTCCTGTTGACTATGTGTTTGTTAACCTTCGGAAGGCATGCTTCACAAAGGTAACATCTAGATGAAACTACTTGATTTTGGGCTTTATCTGTTTCCGAATGGCCTTTCTTTTGTATTGATATCTTTGGTTTTTAGCTGCTTATTTAGATCTTTATTGGCTCCCCAAAATATTAGATCAGATAGGACTTGAAGCATATAGTTTGGCTTTCTGCACCCCTAATTTGTGCCTATCACACCTAAGATAAGCTGGATTTGCAAAACAAGCATGATTGAGGCAATAATCACTTCGATTAGTTCACTAGATATATACCTCATACACAAATGCAGTCTTGGAGTATTATATGGACAATGCCAAATACTCAATAGATGCATGTCTCACGTATTTTAATGGCTTTAGAAAACTTTAAAAGTTATATCATTCTCCATTTTGATAGACTAGTTGTGTGATAGTAACCCTGGAATATCAACTGTGTTGGGTAATTATGTTATCCAGTCTCTACTATAATTGTGTGAAATGTGATTTTAGATGTGTAACTCATTAACTCATTTATCTTGACATAACAGTGATTAATATATAAAAGCACTGTGAGATTTGAGTACTAGTGGCCATTTGAGCCACCTGACTAATTGCCACTTACGACTAATAATTATATTAGGAGCTAAATAGTGGGAATTGAAAACTGTATCCTCATAATGATAGGTCTAAAATCGTATGGTTTTTTCCCCCCTTAAAAAATCATATGGAGTTAAGTACTGGATATATGAGAGAATATGTAATGGCAGAAGAAGACTATTGTAACTAAACCAATTGAGATTAAACTTATTTGAGCCAGTGTGGCCTTCATCCTTCATAATTTTCCATGTATATGTATATATTTGTTTCTCCTTTATAATATAACTGTAATGAAATGTGTAGCAAATGATTTGAATCTAACCAAGTTGTTTTGATTTTCTTAAACAGTTTTGAGTGATCCAGTGAAGAGAAGAGAATATGACAAGCAAGGGATGCTTTATGTCTATGATTACAATGTAACTGTAAGTATCCTCCTCTTTCTTTGGTATCAGATATGTTTCTTTTTCTGCTTCTACATTTCCCTTTTGTGGCTTGCTTGCCTTGCAACTTTTTCTTCTTTGTCTGCAGGAGTATCTTAATCGCTACAAAGGTCTTATATTGACATGCAATGGCCTTGGGATAAGGCATTCAATTTGGTGAGACAACACATGCATAGATATCCTTTTTGGCGTGGACGGAAAAACCTTACGGCATGCAACGCACATTATTGGTGACACTGGCATAGTTGGGGACAAGGATTGATGAGTTGGTTTGGTTGTATTCTGGGGTTACTATTATCATGTGCTCATGTATAAAATGGAAAATGGGGACATCACTATCGTTTTGTTGTGATGTCTCATGCCTGCCCACGTTACTCTTCTTGTAGAGTTCTATTTGTATAATCTTCTTGCCCCTATGCTTATCCATTAACTAATAACTATGAATTGTTCAATGGTCAAACATAACACAATCCTTTTTCTCTTTTTGGGTACTAAAATTGGTTGTGGGTGGCATGTGAGCGCACATGGTAGATTGTTGATGTTTTTTTAATGGCTCTTCAGGTTTTGCCTTTTGATCTCTTCTGTTGAATTCTTATGCTACTGGTAATCTGTGGATTTTAGTCCAGGTGGATTTATTGCAATCAAAACATGGAAATACAATCCCTGAATAATATTAAAGAAAAATACTACGGTCAGTCATGGTTAATCATGGACGATTCCTGTTTGTTGATGCGTGTGAGGCTCAAACTGTATCAACAGTCGTTGATGTATCGTGAGTGATTCCTGTTCCTGTTCGTTGATGTATCGTGAGTGATTCCTGTTTGTTGATGCGTGTGAGGTTCAAAACAGAGAGAGAGAGAGAGAGAGAGAGAGAGAGGCTAAATGGTTTTTTTAATGGATTTTCATCAAAAAAATATTTATTTATTTATTTAATCCACATGTCACGATGTGATTGGAAATGTATACTCCACTTATCTTCCACATCATACACTTAACAGAATTTTTGACGGCAGGGACCATTTGTGATAAAAAGTCCAAACGTTAAGGACTATTAGTGTCACAAAAAAACCTCAAGGACCATTCATGATAATTTCGTAAACGTCAAGGACCATTTGTGATAAAAAGCCTAAAGAAAAATACTACGGTCAGTCATGGTTAATCATGGACGATTCCTGTTTGTTGATACGTGTGAGGCTCAAACTGTATCAACAGTCAATCCTGAATCGTGAGTGATTCCTGTTCCTGTTCGTTGATGTATCGTGAGTGATTCCTGTTTGTTGATGCGTGTGAGGTTCAAAACATATCAACAGTCAGATTTGCACCTGACCCAACCAACATACGAGTTTTTGAAGCCTTGAAGGCATGGCCCAACAACTACAGAGAATGTCCCTGGTTATTTTGCCTAGCGGCTTAGACCTCTTTCTATTAGGACGCAGGTGTTCAAGTAGTGTTTAAAACAGAAAAATGATGGGGATTTCTCTACCCGTAGCATGCTTTTGGGTTTCAAATTTTATCTCTTATATAATCAGCCAAAAGATTTTACATTACGTATGTCAAAGAATACTACAATGTAACTGGTTAATGATACAATTTTATAGCAACATGGTTAATTACTGATGCTCCCTTGCAAATAGAGGTGCCCTAGCACAATTTATAGACCTCCTTCTTCTCTTCTTTCTTTGTTCAACAGCTTCCCTTTGACCTTCCAATACTGGCTTGAACAAAGATCCAAGGGGTTTCTCAAATGAAAATTTATTTTCTTTCATTCTATAGCATAATGCTATCTTTCAAATTCCATTTTCATGTGAAGGATTTAAAGCTTCCGTGTCTCTTGAATAATATCAAAAAATATCATCCATTTCGTCTTACCAAATAGAAGATGTAGATCACAGTTACAAAATAGGTCAGAATTCCATAACTGTTTTCTATTATGAGCATCTTCATCCGTTGGGTTTTCAAGCCAGGATCTAAAGTTTCTGTTGCATCTGAAATCCATCTATGGGCTTAATCCTGCTCTATAACAACTAACTCATCTAGCAGTTCAAATGCAGACAGCAGCTTTCTTTCTCTGCAGATTGATTCTACCAAAAGAGCCCATGAATCAGGCTGTGGTTTGAACCCCATCTCCACTAATCTAGACAAAGCCATAACAGCGTTTTCTGCCATTCCAGCCTCAGAAAGTCGAACCAGCAAGTCATTTGAAGTTGCATAATGCGGTACAAACCCCCTACCCATCATCAACCCCAACAACTGTGTCGCTTTGTTCAATTCACCTTTTTGACACAAGAAATTCAACACAATTCTGTAGCTTGCCTTGTTCAGATAGACACCCTCATAAGGAAGTTTCTCCAGCATCTCAAGAGCATCCTCAATTCTACCTTCTCTACACAACCCTCCAAGTATCACATTGAAAGTCACAGTATCAGCTTTGCATTCTCTTTCTTTCATCTCTTTGAGCAACTCTATAGCTTCATTCATTTTTCCTGTCCTACAGCAGCAATTGATTAAAGTAGTGTAGCCAACTGTATCAGGCTTTATACCAAAGCTCATCATTTCATGAAAAATCTCCTTGGCCTCCTGCAATCTTTTCTCCTTACAGAAACCATTCATCAGAGCCGTGTAATTGAATACATTTGGCTGACATCCATTGCTCTTCATAAACTCCAATATCTTTCTAGCCCTATCAACTTTCCCACCACGGCAAAACCCATTAATCAAAACGTTGTAAGTTAGGGCATCAGGCAATATTTGATCCTTTGAAATCATTTCTTCAAAGAGCTCCATTGCTTCTGTGAGTCTGTCACTTTCACAGAGACCACCCAACAGAGTTGAGTACGTAACCAAATTAGGGTAAGAAATTTTAGACTTTTTCATTTCCTTCACCACCTCAAAGGCAGATTCAAGGTCCCCATTCTTGCAATGGTGCTTAACCAAGATGTTGACAATGCAAGTATTTGGCTTGAAGTTAAGATTCTTTTTCAGATGCATGAGAAATTGTTGGGCCAAATCAACCTGATTTGATTCAATCAGTAAGTTGAGACAAGTACTGATGCATTTGAGAGAGGGCTTTTCACGAACTATTGGCTGGATAGCATAGAACATTTCAAGCACTCTTTCATGCATAGAGGATTTTGAAAAATGCTTCATGAGGTTAAGGAATATACCCTCATGGAATTTGCAGGTCTCATAGGTCATTTGATGAAGAATTGCGTCGATAGCCTTGAACTTCTTGGACTGAGCAAGCTTCTGGAGGATAGTTGCATAAGTGGCATTATTGTGGTTAAAACCCTTTTGTTCCGATACCATGTTAAATATTTCCAAGGCATGTTGTGGATCTCTCTCACGTTTGATTAGGTTGATGGTAGATTCGTGAGAAATATACTTGGTTTTCCTCCTGGTTTCTGTCTGGGTGGTAGTGGTTTCGGGTGGGGGGTCTGGTTTGTGAATGTTGACTTTTGTAAACTGAAGAGGAGAGATCCATGGAAGTGATGCTGAGAGTGTTGAAGGAGAGGATGAGAACCAACGGCACTGACTAAAGTTAACTCTCTTAATATTCATGAAAACTGTTGCTGTCTTGCTAAGGCCCTCCCATCTGAAGAAGATGAGGATCTTAAATACCTACGTCTGTGAGCTGTTTTAAAGAAATAGTGTAAAATCAGTCCATGGCACAGTTAAGAATAATGGCGATGACAACAACAACCACATAAGATAATAGCCATAGACAGCAGCTGTATAAACATGGATTCATCCAAACGATTGCAAATTGAGTAATTGTCATTAACCTGGATGAAAAATACATTCTAATTAAAAGATTGAGTAGGACTCAAACAATATGATAAACAGACACAAGACGCATAAAATGAGTTAATGAGGAAACCCTTGGAATTATCTTGGCTACACACACAAAAGTCATCAACCAAAAGAGAACACAAAGCAAACGGATTCAGATATCTAATATATTTCTGCCCTGACCGCCAATTTGAATGAACTTAGTCTTATTCATATAACACCCTAGGTCCCTAGATACTAATTGTTTCATTTGAACCATCCATCAAATCCACAAAACAGTTCACTATACACCATTGCTGTAAAAGTTGAATGCCATATAACAAAAGCAACAAAAAATTCATGAACATAGGGGCATCACAATTGCATGATATGGGTTCTCCATCCTCAATTAGTAAAATTAATTCTCACATCCTAATACTAATCCTCTAAACCTGCTCTCTGAAAATCCAACCCACCACATGCCCCATAAATGTTTAAAAGATAAATGAAATGAAATGCTTCGTGGGCAAAGAAAGTTTCTAAACTCAATTCCTATACTGGGTTTCTTTTTATTTCGATCAAAGTTCCTTGAAATCAAGCCGAAGGTCAACACAAAATGAAGTTAAAGAAAGAACAAAGAAAACCCAAATGCCTTAATATTCATGGAAACTCATATGTATGAGAAGAGGCAAACAAATACATAAATTTTGGATGAAAAAACACATTGCAATGCCTGGAAAACTGACCTCTGCAGCAGCAACCTTTGCCTTGTAGCAGAAAAAAAATCACGTTCTTGTTTTGCTCGAGAGAATTGTCTTCTGTTTTGTTTCTGCTTGTTAGCTCGCGTGCAGGCTCACTTTGGGGAGAGGCGGAGGTGTTTTGCCTGAGCCTATCATTGTTTTGCAAATTTCAGGTATTGAGGAAGTGTCTAACAGAAGCGGTGTGCGAGGCGAAGAAGACGACCTTCTTTTTTCAAATAATTTGACACAAACGGTGTCGTTTGCATTATTGTTGTGATTCTTTTTCATTAATAAAACAACCTGTTTTGGCTTTGTGTTGTATAATCAAACAGTGCATTTTCAATTGTTTTTTAAAGAGGAATAACCACCTTTTTATTTTAAAATAAGACAGCACACCTCTTCTGAAATAAACCATGCTTGCTTGTAAGTTGTAACAAGTTCTTTTGTTTTTTTTTTTTGGGCAATAAAACGTTTAGATGTAAGTTATTACCTACACGTGAGTGACTTTAAACCTACCACTTACCAGCTTAGTTTCACTTTTTGAGCTTTTAGCTTTTTAAATACCGCCCCTTCCTTGAAAAATTCCTAGATACGCCACAGGTCCCAGCAGGGCGAGAAGACGAAAGAGTGCTGCTTGCTTCCGTTCTGAGTGAGGAAGGCGCACCAAATCAAAACGCAGCGTTGTGGGGTTTGTTTTTGGTCATGAGCATTGTGGTTTTTGAGGCCCAGGGAAAAAGCCCAAGCTGCATATGGCCAGTTTCTTTCTTGATTTTTTTTTTTGGGAAATCTTTGTTTGTTTTTTTCTTACACAAGCGTTTGATAATTGATCAGCAGCCTAACATGACAAAGAAACATGTCCTAAATTGACCATTTTTAGGATTGAATGCACTGATTAAAGTATTAAATAAGTTATAATTATCTTCGAAAAATAGCCATGATTGGTTATTGACAGCGGCATCCCTATGTAAAACCAGTTGTTTTGCTTTCCTCCATGTTTAGATAGAGATAATAGATGCAGACTCCACGTAAAGTAGTTTGCCCATATGAGATGGGGGGCTAGATGCTCCCAATTTGACAAGTCATCACTTTTTATTTTAATTAGTGCATTGATGCATTGATTGAAGATATGCTTTGCTTGGGTATGCATTGAATTTAGGGGTGCAAAAAATGACCATAAAATTGAGAAAACCAATTGACAGACTTGGTTGGTCCAATTTTATATTAATATATTTTTCTTTTCTTTTTTGAGGAATTTTATATCTATATCTTTAAAATCAAAGTTTAAAGATTCACAAATCGAAAAGATCTATGCTCATTTTCATCTCTATCTTATTCGGTTAAAAATGTTGTTTATGCAAAGCACCCACGTGTAGTGGTTTAGAGCAATTGCTCCTCCATGAGAGGTTATGAGTTCGAGTCATAACATCTGTGTAGTGTGTCCGTCTCTCCCAATAAAAAAGATTCTAAAATAAAAAATTAATCATTTATTCAGCTTCGAGGATAATATAATTCTAACCCAACACTTGAGCTAATCCCAATGACTTAATATTTAATTAAATATTACATGTACTTTCAAGTGGTGTGTTTTTATTGGCTTATAATTTTGGGTAGGATCTAAACTCATTTGATCTCTCTAACCATAAACTACATCTATCATTTTTTATCATTTCTATATTCAAAATTCTAACTACACACTTGATCTCTGTATTCACTTTTAATTTAGCGTTTCTTTTTAAATGCTCCATTTCTTTTTGTCTCCTCACTCAAAATCGAACCGACACAATCCAAACCAAATTTAACCATTATTATTATATATTTATATTTATGCAAACTCACCCCCAAGACTGAGCCCACTTGGGTCCAAAACATTTCCAATAAAATTCCAAAGGGGTTAGAGCATTTCCAGCAGTCAAACCCTTGCCATGGCAAGGGGGGCTAGGGCTGACATTATTTATGTGAATAGTGGCTGCCCTTGCCTTTTTTAGCTATGTGTGTTTCCAGCAGTCAAACCCTTGCCATGGCAACTACTATTCATTTTTTTGTTTTTTTCACAACTTTTTTTACTTAAACAATTATTTTGGATAATATTTTCGGGTAAGATTTTTGGGTTCCTACGTGTCAATACTATTCATATCAGATAAGATTTTCGGTATTTTTTTAAAAGTGAAGAGTATTTGTTGGTATTTATAGAAAATAAATTCAGTATTTTTTTGGAATTTTTAAAACATTTTTTCGATTTTCAATTTTTTATTGCACAAAAAATCGTCGCCGTTGGATTGCTGGAAAAAATCGAATCGGAGAGCCCAGCAGCAGCCACGTGGCAGAGAGTACTGTGCGCGGCACTGTAGCGGCACTGTAGCGCTGACGTCATTAATTACGTCAGCTTGCCCGAGTTTTGGACCTGGGGCTAGACTTGCCCTCGGGCCAGCCCAGTTCGCTGGGTCCCACTGCTTGCCCAGGCTGGGTTTTGTTGCTGGAAACAGGTTTTTGGGCTTCCCCCCCAGCCCTCCCCTTGCCCTCCCTGCTGGAAATGCTCTTAGAGCATCTCCAAGGGAGATGTCAAATACCAAACATCAAATTTAAATTTGATGGCTGATGTGGCAATTTGACATCTTACACAGCTTTACTCTCCACCCGATATGTCAAATTAAATTATTATTTTATTACATTTTAGTGTTGATTTATTTTTAATTAAAAAGAATAGAAAAGAAAAAATAATAAAATATTCTTTGACATCTTACTTTTGGGATGTCAAAAATAACATCTCAATCTTCAGCCTTCATTCCACATCAGCTTTGACACATCGGTTGGAATGTGTGAGATGTTATTTCTAGCTGTTAAATGTCTATGTGGCACTTTTGACATATCGGTTGGAGATGCTCTTACAAGGCAAATTTAAAGGCAGACATTGACGGCATTAGGAAACGGCTAAGGACATTGTTCCCAACGAAAACCCTAAACAAACTTACAAAATAAAATAAAAATAATAAAAGTTAATTTTAGGAAAGTAAAGTGAACCAATGACAATGCTGCTGACTGGCATGTAGCAATAAACCACCATCTTCAAGCCATATCTGTCACCACCAACTCTCAAAATTCGACGGCCCCCATTAAACCCCCGTCCCTTGGGCCCCACTTCCCCTCTCTTATAATCCCCTCCCTCCCCTTCCTTTCTCTCTTGGTCATTTCCACAAACACATCACACGCAGAGCTCTCTCTCAAACACTCCAATGGCGTCCGTGGTCCCCGACAACCTAACCAGGGAGCAATACGTATACCTCGCGAAGCTAGCTGAGCAAGCCGAGCGCTATGAAGAGATGGTCCAGTTCATGGAGAAGCTAGTCGTCGGCGCGACCCCCGCCGGCGAGCTGACCGTGGAGGAGCGCAACCTGCTCTCCGTGGCTTACAAGAACGTGATCGGCTCGCTCCGAGCCGCGTGGCGCATCGTGTCGTCGATCGAGCAGAAGGAGGAGGGTCGCAAGAACGAGGAGCACGTGGCTCTGGTGAAGGAATATAGATCCAAGGTCGAGGCCGAGCTCTCTGATGTCTGCGCCAGCATCTTGAAGATCTTGGACTCCAATCTCGTGCCCTCTGCCACGTCCAGCGAGTCCAAGGTCTTCTACCTGAAGATGAAGGGCGACTACCACCGCTACATGGCTGAGTTCAAGGCTGCTGATGAGAGAAAGGCTGCTGCAGAAGACACCATGCTCGCTTACAAGGCTGCCCAGGTGATGACGTCGTTTCATATACTCTAAAGTGTTGACCTTTTAAACATCTCTGGGTTTTTCACCTTTATTTTTTGGGGGTTTTACAGTTTTAGAGCTTTGAGGCAATCATTCAGTCAGCGTTGACATTTTAATCACTTCTTTATTTGTCTTTTTCATTTTGCGAGTAAAAACACTAATGTAGAATTTTGTCAATTTCAATCTTTTAAAAAGATTGGTAATTGGTATTTGGTATTGATTAGAATTTGAAAGCTGAAATTTTGAGGCTTGAATTTTCGTTGTGAAGGACGTAGCGCTTGCGGATCTTGCACCAACGCATCCGATAAGATTGGGTCTAGCACTGAATTTCTCAGTGTTCTACTATGAGATTCTCAATCAGTCTGATAAAGCTTGCAGCATGGCCAAACAGGTATCTTTCGATATCCCATCTTGTTAGAATCTAATACGATTTTCCAGTTATTGGTTTTCTTTCTTTCCTTCTATTGTTTCTTGTCCTCTCTTTGAATCACTGAAATTTTGATTACTCATGTGAGGTATTAGGTAAGTTGATGTAGTGAATTTTGTATATTGTTTTGTGTCACTGCTCAAGTGTTCTATATAAGGTCAATTTATCTATTTATTTGAATCATCCGCTTAGCTGTGTGAATGGGGTCAAGTTTAATTTGTCATAATTGGTTTCTGTATGGTGTATTTTTAGGCATCAAGTCACAATAAGTCATGATAATAACTGAATTTGGGATGTTTTACATATGACTTTGTAGGGATGGGACTTTAATAGGTTTTGATTTTTTGGTTTTTACAAAAGTCACCCATGAATATTGCGGTGATAATTATTGCTCTTTGACTTTGTTGCTTGCATGTCTGCTGCACTAGAAGTTACATGAATTATTGGTATGTATTTATTTTGAATACCTATTTGCACATCTGTTTGGCGGTGGACTGTGTTAATAATTTGCAATTATATTATATGCATAAATATAATATGAAAAAAGATATATACGGAAACGAAACAAGATCGTATTCTATTTGTAAATTATTTTTTTCATCCCTGCTGTACCAGTAGTGATATGAATTATTGGGGGTACAATTGTTTATTAGCAATACCTCTCTCCACATGAGTTTGGAAGTTGACACTGTCTTGTTAAAATCTTGCAGAATTTGTTTATTGGATATGATCCATTTAAGTCATTTTGTTGAAATTCCTAGATCTTTAGCTTTTTATATGTGATTGCAAAATTATTGTATCCTTGGATGGCTTAAAATTTCAAGGGGATATTAATATAAATTGTGGTTCATGATTTGCCTTACATGTCCCAACTTTAAGTAGATGATGAAATTAAACATATTCTGTGAGAAACATGCCCCACATTGAGTACCAAAGGAAATCACTTGCTTCCTGACATTCATGCATTTAAAGCTTGAAAGACTGACACTTTGGGGCCATGTTAGGCTTGTGGTTCAATGTGTCTTACTTTGAAATGGTCTTTTTCTATAAACATTCCATTTGGATTTTACATTCTATTAAGTTAAGTTGCTTGTATTATAATTAGGCATTTGAGGAAGCTATTGCTGAGCTAGACACTTTGGGAGAAGAATCATACAAGGACAGCACTCTGATCATGCAACTTTTGAGGGACAACCTCACTCTTTGGACTTCAGATGCGGTAACTCTCTCTCTCTCTCTCTCTCTCTCTCTCTCTCTCTCTCACACACACACACACACACAGAACCTGATTGATCAAGACCTAATTATATGTTACGTTGGGTTTATGCAGGACCAGTTGGATGAACCATAGAGAGCATTGAAAGCTTGAAGGGTCCTCCTATCCTTCCTTTGGAGGAGGTGGGCGTTGAATGTCATTTGCCTGTGTGAAGCTGATTGAAAGAAAGTGTGTTAATTTGTATATTAGGTCATGCAATATATGCTGTTCGAAACATTGAAACTGAACTTGTTCTTGATTTGTTAAGTGATTTGGAATGGGTAGAATCTGGTGTTAGCAGCAACCAGCTGTCTTTTGAGCTATTTTTATTCTGAATTTGGATTATAGCATCATAGCATTTGAGATAATCGAGGATAGCAAATGAGAAAAATGGTAGTTCGTTGATACTTGTTTAATGGGATTCATCGAAACTTTGTAAATTAGATTTTTCTTAATCAATTGAGCTATTTTTATTCTGAATTTGGATTATAGCATCATAGCATTTGAGATAATCGAGGATAGCAAATGAGAAAAATGGTAGTGTCATTGGATTCGTTGATACTTGTTTAATGGGATTCATCGAAACTTTGTAAATTAGATTTTTCTTAATCAATGAGGAGAAGGAAGAATCGAACTTAGAACCTTTGTATTGTGGGACACTTTGCTTTTCTCTATGGTGACAAACCTTGTAACTCATAGTGACGCAAGGACGAACTTGGAACATGCGCTCAGTTTCTTTCAATCGGATCTAAATTTATTTACTTTCAAATAATTGTTCAATTAGCTTCCTGAACTTCTAATGAAATTATATGTTTCATATGCGTTTCTCTCTCATGATGCATCATATGGGAGGCTCGGATCTAAATTTATTTACTTTCAAATAATTGTTCAATTAGCTTCCTGAACTTCTAATGAAATTATATGTTTCATATGCGTCTCTCTCATGATGCATCATATGGGAGGAATTAACGGCTAATTTCCATCTGTGTAATTTGTTCCAAACATAATACCCATTTCAAATTCACGTATTAAGAAATTTGCTGTATGCGTGTAAGAAATTTACAAATAACAAAAATTAAATAAACAAATTCAAATTCTTATATGACGGCCGAATTTTTCACCTCATGGGTATGTTTGGTACATCGTATGTGTGTAAGAAATTTGCCGAATAATACACCCACATATTTTATAAGTATTATACCCGTCCTATAGTTAAAATAAAACACTCTGAAAGATGACAAAAATTTGTGAGGAAGCAGAATGCCATAGAGGGGCATATTCAACTAGTATGCTTTTACTAAAATAAGTCCGCACATTATCTTAGAAAGTAACCAACAGAAAACCCAAAGGCGATTATTCCCCATTACAACTGTAACACTAAGAAGCTGGCATGCAGCTCGCTTTATTTGAGATGCGCATATACACACACAGACTTGCACACAGACAAACACATAAACCATCTGCTTGACCACTTCAAGAACCAGTCAAATGGTTCTATGTACTTGAACCCTAATAATAAGCTTTAAGTCAGTCCCTTGTGCTGTTTTTGACCCATTCTAGGTACTGGAGACTGCCTGCCTTGATAGGTAGCGCAATAACTTCCGGAACACTGATCAATGAGGAGACATAAAAAAAAGAAGTGAGTACTTAATGTCAAGGTGGAGCTCTATTTTCAGCCATCAGGGAATGCATAAACATCTGATTCTACCAGGTAGAATTTGTGGCAACAGTTCTAGCGGAGGGGATTAGGCATATGATCTTGTGTATTAATTCCGTAGAGTACTGTGGCCACCACATTTTCTATTTATTTGGCATTTTCAGCTTGCAACTAAGTTTGATACAGCAAAGTTCACCAAAAAGCAAAGTACATCAGTTATGAGAAATTTATACTGGAGAAGCTTTGGGCTTACTCATATGGATGGTTTGCCTTCACATGCTCTGTCAGAGCTTCAAAAAGGGATTGCCTAGTCTTGATTATAAGAAGTTCCTCGGAATCTGTCTGGACCTATCAAACCAATATTAAAAAGCGAAATCAATACAATATATTTTCCATATCTCATGAATTGTGAAAATATACAAATGTCAATGCAACAAAATAACAAGTGAATAATCCAAATGGCAAGGGTTATAAGGGTTTCTATGCACCCTTCTCTATGATCATGTGGTAATCCAGGATATCTTGGGGAATGTGATCCATACCTCTCCATTCCACCAATAGACGGACTCAATGCCTGCATTCACAGAGTTTATCATGAATCAGACAAGAAACTACAAGCTTGATGCAAGTTGTATGCAATAATATTAATAAGAAAATTCAAATGTTCAACTGTCAATTGAAGATTAAAGCACAATACCAATGGAAGGGAGGACGTAAATACTCTTTTTCTTATTATATATATTTCTATTTTAAGAAGAAGCAAATAGTAGTTCAAAGTAGATACAGTTTATGTGAAGAAGTACATAGTCCATGGTCTACCAGTAATATATGCCAAGCTGAACACTAGAAAAAAAGAGTAAAAAATAGGGTACAAATCTCGGTAAGAACTACAGGCCACAACCATGTTTTAGATGACTACTAGAAAGATTAGATTGCAACACTTCAGTAAAAACTAAGAACAACGTTCTGTTGACAGGCTGCAAAAATCTGGACATCTAAAATGATCCAAAACTTCGGGGAAGTTCCTAGTCAGATGGTTGGTGGTGACCTGAAAACTATGACTTATTCAGACATAAGAAAATATCAAGTTGTGGAAAATGTGTTCAGTACTTTCTGGTTGAGTTTTGCTATTTAACAAAAAAGTTCAGTAATATCATGGGAACAAGCAACTGTAAACTTAGCAGCCCACGCAATATACAAGCATAATGAAAGGATTAAGATGAAGCGCGTACCTGGTACTAGGTTAACACATGCTGCAAGTTTTTCTCTGACCAAGCTTTCAGCTAACTTCTTTCCTGCACAAAGATAGTATGTCATAAATAATAAATAAAGCGGTTTCAACTTCAGTTTCCCAAATGGTAAAAAAAGAGCTCAGTAGTTATGCAGTTTAGAAGTTATGAGCAAACAGTGCAACTCGTAATATTGATTGAGTACAGTTCAAACATAGGCTATTGTAGGCCCATATGTATTGTTTATTATTGGAGTCTCAACTAAATATATCACAAGATATGAAAACGAAAATAGAATACTTTCTTCATAAATCTAATTACAGAACCCTCTCTGGAAAAACAAAGTTCAAACACAAGAACATTCCACAACTCTAAGTGCTTGTTGCTTGTACAAATGTCCATGTTTAACTTTGCTGGCCTAAATTCGTACAACGCAAAGCTAGCAGGATGACTTGAAATGGGATGTATAAAGTTCTCAGCTGGTGAAGGACTACATTACTGAATGACACTTTGTGCCTCCAGTTGTTTGTGCCTTCCTGCGGCAGATATTGTCCCATTTTCCCCAAATTTGCAAATATCCAATCATTAGAACTGCCATTTAGCTCACCTATTTGTTAAAGAATGCTCATAGAATAATTTATCATGCATACTACTTTCAAGTCCTCGTAACTTTGCACAACAATTCAACCATACCCATCCTTTTTACTCAAGAGTTAGTGCCATATAATGATCAATCATATAACTTTTTCAAAGGGATAACAAACCAAAAAGAAAAATAAAGAAAACCCAGTATTCATAAAACACCAACCTGCTTCTTTGTTGGGCACAGTCACATAAACAACAATACTTGGTACAGTGGTGCTACTCCCTTCCATTTTCCCAGAGTGAACAGCTGCTGCTTGGCAACCAAACTTTGATCTAAAAACCCACAATTCAACACAAATTCTGATTAAACAATAAATAATGAAATCACAGAAAGAAAAAAAAACCTTTTGAAATCAGAGAAAGAACAAGGTGAAGAAGGTTGGTGGCGTTGTACCTCAAGAGAGGAGCGAGAGACTGAGCAGAGCCCGTTTTGAACGCGGAGAAGGAAAGAGCAGGAAAGAGGTTGGAGATGCCCAAGCTAAGCACGCAGAATGCTCCCACCAGGGGCAGACGACGTCGTATTGTGGTGGGGGAAGTGAAGGCGCGTATGGCTTTGGCTCTGCAGGAGATTGTTGAAGCCATTTGGGAGAAGCAGTTGGTGTGTAATTATCATATTTTTGTTGCGCGTCATCATTAAGCCTGTTTGGGATGCTTTACTTGATGCTCTTACCCGGGATAACATAATCACATCAGCCAAGCAATTCTCCTTTTTTGTTGAATTTCTATTGGGCAAGCATAATAGAAACTTCCACCCATTCGCCATGGCAAAAGGCAAAAGGAGACAAGGACAGTTACTATTTATATTAATAGTGCATGGCCTAGTAATTCTTTTGTGCTTTTCCATTCATTGTCATGGAAATCAAAGGGTAATTACTAGGGAGTTTCACTAAAACACTAAAAATGGGGGTTGAAATTATAAAAAAACCCAACACCCAAAACACTTTATAAACACACCCAAAACCCATCATTACACACACACAAGACCCATTTATAAACACACCCAAAAAATATACAATTGTTGATTTTGGAGTTGCTTTTTGGTGTGTTTCTATGTTTAAATAGTGCGTGGGTTTTTTTATAAATACATGTCTAGGATTGGGTTTATTTATAATAATCTATAATTACAACCCATCATTACACACACACAAGACCCATTTATAAACACACCCAAAAAATATACAATTGTTGATTTTGGAGTTGCTTTTGGATGTGTTTCTATGTTTAAATAGTGCGTGGGTTTTTTTATAAATACATGTCTAGGATTGGGTTTATTTATAATAATCTATAATTATTATTCACATGGGATTGATTTTATTTGTATGTATGAGATTAATAAATACAAAATTGCTATGTATGTATAAATAAAAATTATGAATTTTTTGGTAATTTTTTAGAATTTTTTTAAAAAATATCTTTACGGGCAGATCTTACTTTTTGGCATGTCCAGTCTTGATGGAGCCCACATCCTGCCGGGACTAGAATGCATTGGTGGAGAGGTTCTTTCAACCCAGGGGGCTTTTTGCCATAACAAAAGGCCATGGGTCTCTAACAATGTCGTAATTTGAAAGAGGATAAATTTTGTTTTGTGGAAGAAAAAAAAACGGAGCTAAATATCCATAACCCCAAGTTTCTATCCAAATTTCTGTTACAAAAAATACCAAATAAATCAAATGAATTATGAGTTACCCTGATTCCATAAAAAAAAATGCAGGTAACTTGTAACTGGTTCCAACTTCCAAGTGCAACAACAAAATAAGGCTGTGTTTGGATGAAGTAATTCTAATTTTCATAGAATTTGTAAATGACGGAATTTGTAATTACATCATTTCAAATTACGTCAATTCCAAATTTCCAGTGTTTGGATATCTTGTATATAGAATTTAGGAAATGACGGAAATTACAATTTCCCCTGTTTGGATAATCATAAACGGAATTTTAAAATTGAAGCTCGCAGAGAATAAGGAGGCTTAAGATCTTGTATATAGAATTTAGGAAATGACGGAAATTACAATTTTCCCTGTTTGGATAATCATAAAAAGGAATTTTAAAACTGAAATTCGCAGAGAAAGCAGGAGGCTTAAGAATATAAAAAAGCATCTCAGAAATCATGATAAGCTAGCTGTCCTGTAATTGTGACAGAAGGTCACTGTTCAACAAAGACAATTTCGATCAATATCAATTCAAAAGGTTGGATATATGATTCTGGGAGCTAGGTTGGATCTGCTACTGTTTAAGGTACAGTTTTGATAATTTCGATCAATATCAATTCAAAGTCATCTATATTACTAAAAAAACAAACGTAACAGTAAATCAAAATAAATGAATCCAATCATTCCAACTACTGTTTAAGGTACTTGTAATTAACTAATGATAATTAATAAAGATAACATGAGAATGAAAAATGTGTTTTATGCCCTTGGTGAAATAAACATCAACACCATTCCTTTTTTTCTCTCAACTGGAAGTGTCTTCAACATGAGAAATTGTTTCTCATTTTCTATAAACCAAGTGCATGCCTTCAATTGTTCATCTGGACTAAGTTCTGGAATTGCATTAACTTCATTATATACTTCTAATGGATCAAGCTTTTGTGTGGTAGCATTGATAAATTGTTCGAACGATGAAGCCATTTTAGCCACTGAATCAGCAAGAACATTAGGAGTATCTCTTTTCTTTGGTGGGCGAATTTCAGAAGATGGTTGATTTTTTTTCTTTGGACAACTAGAATTGGGTGAGACATCATCAATGTGAGCATTCTCAAAACCTTGAGTATCAGCACCCAAGTCAACAAAATTATTCGGTTCGCTATCAAGGGTCATAACCTCAGCAGCTTCAGAACATGTTTCAGCACCCTCTCCAGTAGCTCTATCTTTGCCACATAAATCCACTATATCATCCCAATTTGCAATTACTTTATATCGAAAAGTTCTAGCATCTTCATGAGACTATCAAGAAAGAAAAAAAAAAAGGTTAAATAACTCTAAATTTACCACAAAAAATATTCTAGTCATGCCAAAAAGGTGTAATTCCATTGTAAATTACCTTCACATACTCATTCCAAACATTCTCTTCATCTATAGTGATCATCTTTTTTGTTGCATCCCAACTGAATCCACTCTGACTTCAAGTTGTGCGCAAGTATATTTAAGAAAATAGCCACAGACTCTTCAATTGAAACATTTCTTGTTGGAGTCAATCCACCCTTTCCATGCAAAATAGTGCATAAACTCTTAAATGCATTCTTGCTAACTCTTAATTGTTCAATACAGTCAACCTCCCTCCCATTATAATCTCCTCAGCCATAACAACTGAGGAACCCATATCATAAATACAGAGTAAAAATCTGCAGCCAGAAAGTGCAGAAAACAATAATTTCACAACATATAATCTATCATTTATTGGAACAACACAGATTGAAAAGCAAGGATAGGTTGAGACTATACCTTTATTGGAGCAAAACAGAGTCTTAGATTGAAAGATGATAGATAGCAAAATCTGAAAACCAAACACTCTCTATCAGATTAAAAAATAATTAACTTCTGTTTTTTTGGTTGAAATCTAGTTTCAAAAAGAAACCAAAAGAGATCAGATAACAAAACAGAAAGTAGAGATAAAGAATACACCGTGCAGAGAGTAGAATACAAACAGAGCCCGGTCAAACCCATTAGATAAAGAATCATATAACAAAAAGAAAGTAGAGATAGATCGATCAAACCCATTAAATTGAATACCCATCAATAATATCAACAAAAAAATTAAAAAAAATTACAACTAGATTGAAAGCTCACCTGCAAAACTTGGATGGCCTGCCTTCTTCTCCCACTCTTGATAGAAAACTGATATAAGGTGTATTTGTTGGCGCGCAGCAAAAACAATTTCCCCCGCTCTTGAGAATTGCAGAATTCCACCAATTATGATAGGATTTAAACTCGGGATTTTGGATTGGGAAATCCCTCCATATTTCCCGCAAGTGATTTGCCAAATCCCTAGTAGATTTTGCCAAACGCATGGATTTCCCTTTGCCATCGGTGAAATCCCGTCTTTATTTCCTTTTGCCAAACACACGGTAAAACAAACATACTTCCTTTCCAATTAAGTTTTTTTTGTAATTTTAATCAAATAATTTTCAATTGTAACTTATAATAAGGGTTATGCTATGGAGACTGCAGTTATATACTATTTTGTGCACCACCTCTCTAATAGATGTGAGACTGATTGAGCCATCTAAGGACCAGGGTGGGCCCATGCCCCTCTCGGGTTTTTCAATATGTGTCCTTATGTATGTATACACAAATTGGGTGTTTTGGGTAATTTGTTTCTCTGGATGATCTAATTCACCTTGTAGCTTTTAGTTCTTGTTGACTTTTGGGCTTTTGCATTGGTTTCTTTGCCTTGTAGCTTGTTTTTCCTCGTGATGTTTAAAAAATCTCTCTTCCTCTTTTGTTTAACTTTGGGATTTATGAACATTTTTTTGTATTTCTTTTGAGTCTGAATAGTGTAGATGATGAGATTAATCTTCAACCATTTTTAAATTTGAAATTCAAAACAATTATATGGTTATACTTAATGGATATATTATTAATTAATATAAAATGATAGTATGAAGTGAGCCAAAATGATTAATTAATGTAGTATTAGCTAATTGACCAGTTAGCGCTTGAGAATGAGAACCCTCTAATTATTTTTTAAAATCTTGTGCAGGGTCCCCTCTAATGTGAATCCTGACTCTGCCACTAGTGAGACCTATTATATTGGTGGCCTCCACTTATATTAGAAAGGTAGCACACAAGGTGATATCTAAAATGTGATCTCCCTAGCATGACCCGACTGAGTCAAAATCAAGATACCACTAGCATTGTGATAATAAACTCTTATGGTCATGTGTTACTTGTCAGTGCCAATAAGCTTGGAGATTCGACAATCATTTTAGCTGAGGAAATAATTCTGAGAGATAGTCTTGCCAATACCCTTAACCGCAACTAGAAGAAGCTTGTGGTTGAAGGTGACTCCAAGTTGATTATTGTCTATGTTCTTAAGAAAGTTACGATTCCTTGACATATTTAATAAATTATTCAAGATATATGCCCCAAGTTCGTTAAGGTGTCATTTTTCAGCATGTTTTTAGGGAAGCTAAACTTGTAGTTGACGCCTTAGCGAACTTGGGCCATGAAATTCCTTCCTCCTACTTGTGGGAGAATGATCTTCCTTTATATGTTGTTTCTCCCTTTTACTTTGACTCTTCGGACCTTCTTGCCCTAGGGGCTTCGTACTGTAATTTACTTTATTGCATTAAAAAAAAAACTTAAAATAATAATACTATTATTCTTCGTAACATTATAGGTGAGACGTAACAACAAAATTTAGTGTCCATGTTGCATTGCATTGGTCTGATTTACCATTTTCATTACGTCCACCCTCAAGATATGGGCTTATACAAAAGCTTTAGCATTAAGAGGTTGGATTGGGCCATCAGGTGTTGCAGTTTTCTTTAGGCCCATCAAAAGTATTATGAATTCTAGGATCTACTCCATCCAATACATTATTCTCAGTTCCCAACCTTCTCCTTTATTTTATTTTTTGGTCAAGCACCTTTTCTTTTATTACTCATCAAGTCGCAAACTCCTCTTATCAAGAGAAACTCTCATGCAACGGGGATAGTAAAAATGTTTTCTCCGGCCAATAACACAATGATATATAGAATAACTTTTTCACATGTCATTGTGTTATTGGCTGGGAATAACAAAACAGTATTATCCCTATTATATATAAGTTTTTTTCCCTCCTTTGACAACTTGAAGTGGAAAGACAACTTGTAATTAATAAACAAAAGACATGAAGTCACATATAGATATTATTAAAAATGGAAATATGTGATGACAAATGAAACAAAGACATGGCTAAATAAACAAGTGTGATTAGAAATGGTCCTAGGAGGAGCACAAATAAGAAAGAGGTCCCCCTCCTCCTCCATCTCCAAGCGAATTGCGAGGTTTTGTTGGTTGCTATGGCATTTTGTCAAATGGAGTTTGGCATCTCCACAGTGAGACATTGAGAGTGCATTTGACTAAACATGAGATGAATCATGGACTGGGATTCCCAAATTTAATACTTTATTTAGTCTATTAATTAAGGACATGACATGAGAAATGTACCTCCCTTCTCCCAACCATATGGTCCCAACCTACAAAACACACACACAATCCCCAACGCACAGTAAACCCACATAAGTTTTGCAGCTTAGAAACCGTCATTTTTATGACCATATTAGTTGATCACATGATATAGCTGTTGATTTGTTAGTTAACCGTAACGATATGAAGTCACCTCTAAAAATGCTAATTCAAGTTGATATTTGAATTATTCAATCTTATTTAAGTAAGTCAAATATCTTCAATGCGATACAAGAATCAAAACTGCGATATATTAATAAGTTTGGATGAATAGTTACATTTTAATCAACTAATTATCTGGTCAGAAATTACATTCTAATCATTCATCAAATGTGAATTCTACAATGATCTATGTTAATAAATCGTAAACATATACATATGCGACTGACGGTAGAATAGATTTTAGTATTTTCTTAAGGTAGAATCTTGATAGCCCATATGAATTCTATAATAGTTGATAAGTTTGATAAAAGACAAAGCTTCAAGATAGCTTAACAAAATGAAGCTAGAATGCTAAGACAGGTGGGTTTGCTTTGCTTGCCAGCTCAATCTGTGTTAGAAAATAATTTATCGTCTATAATAAGAATGTTATTGCTGATGGGAGACCAAATTAAAAATTCACAAGGACATGGTGTTCATATAAAATTGCACGAGAGGCACGAAAAGGGAGGACGCGTGGACCCCAATCTTGTGCCACGTGGAGCCTTTATTTTTGATCGATGGCTCTAAAGGCTTGTCGTGGAGACACGGAAGACGCGGCGGATGTTCTGGATTCTGTAGATGGCGGACCACGGCGTTGCTGCTGCTGCTGCACATGCTTAGAATATTTAGTTCTTATTTTTATTTTATTTTTTTCATTTAGTTCTTAAATTTTAATTAACCAATTTTTATTAGCTTAATTTATGACTTGGGTTTTGTTAGTAAACTCTTTCAAATTGATTTTGGCAGTCAAAGGATGTAACTTGTAAGTTAAATTAAGCAATGAAGTGGTGAATCTCAAGGACTTAGGTTTGAGTTTAATATCTAGCACTTTAGGTCTATTGTGAATGCAAATTTTAATCAAAGTTTTAGCCAATTAGATGCAGCTGATGAATGCTTAATTAGTTAATTACAATGCAAGCGTGATCCAAATGGACACTTTGTTTATGTAGAAATTCAAGTTAAAGACAAAGATCATGAAAATTGATTATAATAATAACCCTATCTCTATCCTCCCCATGAATTGTTTTTCCATGCATGCTTAAGGAGTTAAAAGAGTTATAAACGTCATTAAATAACAAATGGTGCAATGAGGTGGTGAATATTTTTTTATTATTTTAATACAAGCGATATTAGGGCTGGGGAAATCAGACATAGGATTTTCAGTGCGGGGATAAATGTTGTTAACCACTTGAACTGCAAACCCCTTCCATCAAGTGTTAAATCTAGTCATATAACTCAGCATTGGTCATTGAAATTTAGCAGTGAAAAAAAAGAGAGTAGCAATGGATGAGTTAAAAAAATGTGTAGTGGGTTTGAATGAAACTCTGTATAGCTCAGATCTCAAACAAGAAGACTCTCTTTAAGATTCATACACCAAAAGGAAAAGTCTTTAGGGGAGGAGGGGGCCTCATCTTTTATTGAAATAAAGAGGGCTATGGTCTTTGAAATTAGCACAGGATCTGACATAGACAAAGTTTAATATTAGGGTTTTGGTAATTTCTTTTTTTTTTAAAACAAAAAAGAGGAAAAAGGTGAATTCTAAAGAGTAGAAAAAGAGCATTTGAAAGAAGGCAGAAGGGGGGGAAAGGGTTAGAAATTTGTGTCCCTTAAAGTCTCTTTTGGATCTAGAATATATAAGCATGTCTTAATATTGAATCCAAGGAACAAGCATCCAAGGTTAAAAACATAGTTACTCTAATATGTGGTCCAAAACCATTTATAATTTTTTTTTTATTTACCATTTTGTTTGCTAGGTCATGGTCAAAGTAATCAAACAAACAGGAACCCATTTAAGAACTATTAATTTTGCAAGTCATGAAATAATAATTTTATGGACTTACATCACACAAATTTGTCACTATTAAGTGTCCTAATCCTGTCTTAAGGAATCAAATGGTTGAAAAAAATATTCATCCAAGTACAAATGTTTTGACTGAAATCTGATTATATAATTTCTTAAGCTAAATTAGTACCACTAAGTCCCATCAATTTAATCGATGACTTCTAATAAACAATACTCTGATTTCCACCTGAAAAACAAACAGAAAAAACAGGGGGAAAAAAGAAGAAAGAAAGAAAGCTTGAATTTCAAGTTTCAACTCTGCTGCAGTGACCAAAACCATTCATTCTGCACAAAATCAATCGCAAGGCATAGTCGAGAAGCATCTGAGAGAAGGACCATAGGAAATGGACCAGCTTTTGTAACCCTAAAGTTGAAAATTTCCATGATTTTTGTCCCCCCGGAATTTTAAACTAAGTAAATAATCATCAACAGCATTCTCAAGGAGAAAGATATAATGTTATATTGACTGAGGGGGGACGGGTTAACTTAGCAAGTCAAGGTCTCCAATTAGCATTCATAGGCGCTCTTTAGACTCGTTGCTTATAACATCTGTTATCTAAATCTGTCATTATGCTTTGTGATTAAGTGTCCTAATCTACAAGACTAAAGTCATTATTGCTGAATGTTATGGAAATTTTGTACTTTACATATAAATCCCCAATTTCACACATTCCAAAAATAGATATCATGCCTAAAAGTGAAATAATAATAATAATAAATAAAGCAAAAAAGAAAAGAAAAGCAAAAGTACATCTCTTTTTGGGATTTTTTGGTCACTAAAAAGACAAACCCTAATTTTTATTTTTATTTTTTAATTTCTAAACATAGCTTTTGGTGCTATGGCCATGAGAAGCACGCGGTTAAAAAGGTAATAGGAAATACATGCATGTTTGCACATTTTAGGCTAATTTATAAGTGTGAATATATATGTGATTTCCTTTCTTAATTAAGATTTAAGCATCTCTAATTCTTTCTAGACTTAATTAATATGATATATGCAATGCTTCTTTGGCATTTTTAGAAAAACGAATTGAATAATTAATTAGTTAAGTTTGTTTTGCAGAATTGCGTTTCGACCCAAATTAAAAAATAAAAAATAAAAACCAGGGTTCGACACTATATATTATATTTTGTGATGTGACATTCTATCTTATTCTAGTGCTAGTGCCAAGGTTTATGTTAAACTTCGTACTTCATAATAAATGATAATTACATAAAATATTAAGCAACTTCGAGAGCGTCTAACTATTTTTTGAGATAAAACACAGAGGAAATTTAAGAAAGTCTCGGGTTCGATTTGTAACCGTGCTAGTATTACTATGCATATGTACGATATATTTTACGTAATGGATTTACATCATCGATATATTGTCAATATGTTATCGATATTATTGATATTTTGGTTTTTATAATTTTCGATGTAGTTGATTGATGATATATTCTCAATAGTTAACCACTTTAAAAAAGAATTGTACACTTACTTTGGATGAAAAATCTAACATGTTTGACGATGGAAGTTAAAGTGGAACACAAAAAGTAAATTTATAGGTCAAGTTGGGTAAAAGTGACTTTCATGTAACAAAGTGAAATTCATGACATCTTTAAAAGGACACTAGAGTAACTAAGCTGAAATATTATTCCAAAATGTTCTTCTTCTCATTAACTTTCAAGCATGTATAGAAATATGTTTAAATTCAACTTGCAATATCCAGTTACTTCTCAAATGCTAATAAATTCTTCAATTAATTTTAATCTCCCTTTCATGTATCAAGTACTTACGACAATTTATTACCTCTCATCAAACTATGTATCAGCATTAGCTACTATTCTCATTGCAAATTTGGCCTAGCTTGTTGCCTTTTTCGGTGCTAGAATGCGAGCCATCAAATAAGTAACAATCCGTTTGTATGAGGGTAAATAACTCGGAATTTAACTAAAAGTCGGGAATTTAAGAGGAGAAATTAAAAATTCTCTTGTTTGGCAACTTAAGCACGGAATTTATTAAATGACACGCGGAAAAAATCATGGAAATTTGGGCATCAAATTCCAAGTTTAATTTCCACCAAAATAGTCGTCATTTCACAATTTCTATAGTGTCATTTATAAAATTTTGTCGTTTACAAAATTCGACATATCATAAATCCAAACACTAAAATTTTCAATTGCCAAAAATTAAAATGATAGAAATCTAAATTCCGTCATTTTAGAATTCTATGTAATTTTCAATTCTTTCATCTAAATGGAGGGTAAGAGTAAGTTGGGTAGCATTGCTAAAAATCATGTATGAACTATAACATGACATGAACACGTACGAAGAATTAAGTGTTGGGGTCGAATCCCTAACAGTTTGACACAATAATGAATATTTCTTAATAAATTGAGTCAACGTTCATTCATTTAACACTATTGACATGAAGATGTTTGTATCTCTCTTTACTCTTTATAGGTAAAATGGGTAAACACAAGGCCACATTTTTATGTTTGTATATTTATACATGAAAAGATAAGAAGTTACATTTAAGGATAGATTAAATTTACATTACACGAATATAACACGACACAAACACACTAAAATTCCACGCGTTATCAAGCCTATCATCACTTATAAATTTACGCGAAATCATGATTACCCTTTGAATGGTATTATATTGTCTCGTTAAGTTACAACTTACAACCTTATTCTTTGTATCTAGAGCATAACCTATATCCAAAATGAGTTGTAGAATAAATAGAAAGTCTGATTTGAATAAATTTAAAACTGAGACGATTCCGATGGAATTAAAGCAATTTATATCGTTACCATTTTAAGTCAATAGACATTTTGTTACTATAAAACAATAAAATAATTACAAATTTTGATAAAGAAATTTAAACGTGTATTGTGTATCAAGTAAATTTAAAAAAAGAAGAAAGATGTAGCAACTAGATGAAAGGTAAAAATAAACAGTTAATTTTCAGAAAACGTATGTCAAGGAAATACTTTCTTTTCATAAGATAAGAGCACGCATGAGAAAGGCCAAAACGGTCCAATTTCGGAAGCGGATGCTTACGGTAATCGGCTGCTTGTACACGCGTCAGCATGGGAGCAAAAAGACAGCCTCATGCTCCAATGCTCCCTCTTCATTATTCACATTTACACTTTTACCCTCCTAGTTTGAGACCATATTTACTAGCCCGAAAATGTCCTTTTATTTGTGTCTTTTTTTGGGATAGGAAATTTTATAATTAAAGAAAAGAGAGAACCAAACATACATGAATAACTAAACAGACGTAATTCTTTTCTTGTCATATAGCATAAAATGGATATGTTGAATTTTGACTATTAATTAGGATTCTCTTATATGAAATTTAGTCTAAATTCACAATATGGTAATACGAATACCTTATCATGCCACTCTGTTTAATAAGAGTACCGAACAAATATTACAAAACTAACAAAATAATTTATAAATAAAAAAGTATATAAAGGAAATTTAGAAAAGCTACATGTGGTTTAGATATGCTCAATATGACAAATCTAAATAACAAAAACAATATTTTGATGCAATGGTCAAACATTTGATAATGCAATTTGATTCTTCTATCACATGGTTTTGAGTCCTTTGTCACTACTTTTTCTTGGTCTTGGAATGGATATGATTGACTGATTTCATTTACATGAAACAACTGATTCACATTTTAAGAGAATAAAATTTGAATAATATGATTTATTGTTTACACGGAAAATAACAAGGTAGGTAGCATGAGGCCATTAGCATGCATATGGTAGTTAAGCGAATTTATTAATCGATTTATTATTGTCATAGAAAATATCTAAAATTAAAATTCAAGTAAATCTTCTTGCCATGCACACCCTTAAGACATTTCACTCCTAGTCTAGACAGTAACATCTCTCTCTCTCTCTCTCTATCTCACACAAAATCTGGCAATTACCCTTCTGGTCTCCAGCTGTGTATATTTTTTCAATCTCTCTCTCTCTCTCTCTCTCTCTCTCTCGTACTCACTTTACCCTAAAAGGAGCCACTCATCTCCTTCATAAGCTCCTCTCAAGCGGCAGTCTTTTCCGCAAACCTTGAGAGAGAGAGAGAGGGAGTGAGAGGGTCTCTGCTTCCCTTCAATACACTATTCATTTTATTGGCTTTTATTTCCTTTCATCATATTTATTGTTCTTCTATTCTTTGATTAAAAATATCTTCTTCATCCCCAATATCTGAAAACACTCAACAAACACACACTGCATATATAAAACAAAAACCAAAGTCTGTCTTTAATAACTTTTGTTTCATAGTTGATGAAATTTTGGTATCCAAAGTGAGAGAGAGAGAGAGATAAAGAGAGAGTTTGTGTCCGTTTTGGAGAGATTATTGTTGTTGTTGCAATGGCACCCAGCTTTGACTGTACGGTTTCAAGCCTGCTTTGCGCAGAAGACAACATTTTCGATGATAACGATTTTGGGTCTGTGAGATTGGAGGAGGAGTTTGATGAGGCTATGTGGCCTCTTAGAAATCATCGAAACTATGATCAAAATCGTGGCTTTGATGATGAGGGTGGACTGCCATTGCAGAGTGATGAGTATTTGGCTTCAATGGTTGAAAAGGAATGCCACCACTCGCCTGGTTCTGATTACTTGATGAGTTTGCAAAGTGGAGAGTTGGACCTGGGTGCTAGAAAACAGGCTGTTGATTGGATTGGAAAGGTAGGTTCTTTAGTCTCAGTGAGTTTTTTTTTTTTTTTTTTTTTTTTTTTTTGGGTTTCTTTTCATTTGATGGTAAGTTTTATGAGATGGGTATTATTCTCCAATCAGAAAGAGCTTTTCTTTTCAATTGTTTTTGGGTTCAAAGAAATAAGGTTGCTGGGTTTTTGCAAGTGAACCTTAAGTTTCATGTTTTTTTGGGGTAAATTTTTATGTTCGGGGTTTTGGATGAACATGGTTCTGGTTGTCTTTCATTTGGACATCTCATTGTATCCCAATCATTCTTAATTTGGCTTGGTGGGGAATCTTTTTCTGTTTTGCTTTTGGGCCAAAGCCAAAACAGAAATTGAAATTTTACCCTTTACCCTGTTCTTAGCTGTACATGCCAAGGACCAAGCCAGAAAAAGAGGGGAAAAGCTTGATTATATTTTTCTTGGGTTGATTAAGTTAATGATTATTGCTAACATTGTTTTTGGTTTCAACAGGCAAATGCCCATTTCAGTTTTGGACCACTCTGCCAATATCTATCCATAAACTACTTGGATCGCTTCCTTTCTGCCTATGAATTCCCTGTAAGTCTGAAGGAATAAATCAAGCAGGACTTATAGTACCTACCTGTGCTTCTTACACATTGTCTCTTTTATTGCATCCAAGTCCATTGCTGATTGCATCTATTCTTTCTGCATTCTATGTGAAGAATGGCAAAGCTTGGACTATGCAATTGTTGGCTGTGGCATGCTTTTCTCTTGCAGCCAAAATGGAGGAGATTGATGTTCCTCTCTCTCTAGATTTACAGGTCAGAGAAACTCATTTGCATGCTCTATTGTCAAGTTTTCTTTGTTTGATCTTTCTTGATTTTTCTGTTTTAGATGATCTTATTGTCCTAAAGATTTGGGTTTTCAATCAAACAGGTGGCGGAGTCAAAATTTGTATTTGAGGCAAGAACAATTCAAAGGATGGAGCTTCTGGTTTTGAGCACATTAAGATGGAGAATGCAAGCAGTTACCCCTTTCTCCTTCATAGATTCTTTCCTTCTCCAGATCAATGAGGATCAAATCCCTCTCAGAGCTTCAATCTTGAGATCATCCCAACTCATTTTGACCACTGCTAAAGGTACTGCATTTTCTGCTATATGTTATAATTTCTTTCTGCAATTGCACCAGTATTATGAAAGAGGGGCTGATGTTTGTGGTGGGTGGGAATTGAATGCAGGAATTGACTTCTTGGAATTCAGGCCATCAGAGGTTGCAGCAGCAGTAGCAATTTCTGTTGCAGGAGAAGCCAAAACATTAGACACTGAGAAAGCAATCTCTATGCTCATTCAACATGTAGACTTAGTAAAGGTATATGGTTGGTGGTCCAAGTCCCCAAAGGGAGACATAAATGATGGTTTTTGTTTAAGCTTTTGCTCATATCATTTTGAGTTGATTACAATTACAAACAAATACAAATATACAAATATGATTGCCCTAAAAGACATGCCATACTGAATTTTTTTTGTTTTTATTTTGGTTTTTGCAGGAGAGAGTGGTAAAGTGTGTAAATTTGATTCATGATATGTCTTTAATGAGTGGGGCCTTTAAGGATGCTAGTGGCTCTGCCCAGTCTGTGCCCCGGAGTCCAATTGGGGTCTTGGATGCTGCATGCTTCAGCTATAAAAGTGAAGAGAGCACAGTTGGGTCATGTGCAAATTCCTTCCACAATAGCTCTGATTCTAAAAGAAGGAAGCTAAACAGAGCCTTTGAGGTGTAGTTATAGAAGCTAAATTATTTTGATTTTTGTTACATAAGTAGATTGGTGTGTTTGATGAAGTTGATCAAAGGAAAAAAAAGAAAATTGAAAAAAAAAAATGGTTGGAAAAGTAGAATGATGGGAGAGGAATGGAATAAGTTAGATCATGGATGGAGGATGGAGGATGGAGAAGGGAAACAATATGTGCCATGCTTTTGGCATGAAGAAAACCTCTCCAGCTGTTAAATATTAGACTTCTTAGCAGCCAGAGACTATGAGCAGAGAAAAGTGAGGGGAACAGAATGGAAAATGGAAAATGGAAATGGAAATGGAAAAGCTAGTTCTGTTTGTGAGATACAGTTTGGTTTAGTTTTTGGAGTTTGTATTTTTTTTAATTGGTTACAAAAAGAAAAAAGAAAAAATTGGAACAGATAAGAAGTAATATATGATTGCAGGAATTTTATATGTTCTTATGTTATATTTTTATTGTCAGTCTTACTTTATCCAGTGCTCTGTTTCTGTTTGACCGATTGTCCATTTTGGACCGTGGGGGTGATGGGGTCTGCAGCTTTGATGAACATTGGGACTTTGGGAATGCAATAATGAATATCCTAGTGTAAAATTAAGGTGATATCTTTGTCAGAGAACAGAGCACCTATTTTATCCACCCACCTACAGCATTTTGTTTTGTCCATCTAGTTGCTGTCACCAGGTCCAAAAGCAACACTTAACGTTTTCGACCTTCCAACCCATACTTGGAATTTATTTCTAGGCCTAATAAGTCATAATTGGGCTCTCTTGGTTTTTTAGGTCAAATATCTGGCCTCTCTCAAGCTCTAGGTTAAAGTCTTTCAAGCTTGTTCCCATCCTAGCAGAAAGAATTATGGTTCTCTTTAAAGAAACATGTGACATATGACTAAACATTATTCTTTCAAGTGACCAACATATAATTACATAGTTTGAGGGGAGATAACTTATCCCATCTTCATAATCCTCCCTTCCTATTTTCCGATATATATGCAAATCACTTGAGGAGAGATATTTAAAGAGGCAATACGAACCCGTAATATATAAGTTTTTATCATATCTTGTAGTTTAGGTTAAAATCAGTGACAATCTACGCACATACATAATGCGGACCAGTAATTGTCAACCAAAGATGCTTGTAGATCCACTAGGAAGCTTACACACACTAATGGTTGATGGTTGTCTGCGGGTGTGTGCTGATTATTCTTAAGCATTTCCCTAATTTAAATATGCAAATGATTCTTCAATATGAAAATGCAGGATAAGCCTGGCAACTTTTACCAATGATTCTATAATTCAAAAGCAAAGTATGGTTCAAAAAGAAGAATTAAAAGAACACCTAGAACACTGACCACAAGCATTTTATGTATTTTATGTAATGTATGAAAGAAAAAAACCATCAACCTCTCTAAGGAATAGTTGATCACAACAACAACAATAGACTAACCGAACAACAAGGCACTGTAAGAATAATGTCATGTGCACATCGATTGTACAAAGTTAATTTTTACCGACAATCGTGAGAATCACACCAAATACTACTAGCCTAAGGAAATTGCAATTTGGGGATATTCTCCACAGAGAAAAATATATATATAAATCAATCAAAATGAGGCTAAGAAAATCAACAGAAATAGTACAAGGGCTCTGATCAATAATGTTCCAACAGCAGACGTTTGTTTTCCACTAAGTAATGTCGTTTTTTCATTATATTAAAACTTATCACAAATAGGAGAGAATCCTGAAAATACGTTGAGGGAAATAGATAAATCTATGAAGGAAAGGACATAAGTCTTGATACTGTAAAGCCACCGTCCTTCAAAATCAAAATTTCAGAACCTGTCTAAAAGAATAAGTTGAAACCAAAGCAAATCGAGCAGAATCAGCGGAGGTGGTTGAGGATGTGCTGCAAAGCTGAACCTATTAGACAGAGTCCAAACTCTAAAAGCTAACCTTCCTATGAGACAGACAAGTACCAATGCCAAATCATTTTCTTGATCTATGAAATTTCAAGAAAACAAACAAAAGAGTCCGAACAATTATTTAAGCAATCTTTGAAAATCTAAACATCTCAGACAAACATTTAAGATGAAATGACAATTCAATATGATACAGAACAATAAAAATCTAAGGCCAATCTTGTGACAATTTAAAGGCTGTAGATGAGGAATGGCTTAGTGTATGGGAGAAGCTTATCATTCAGAAGTAGCTATTTGTTTACCACCAACCTGGTGGCAAATGAGAAAGTTTATTCAAGGTCCAATCCAAGTGAGAGTGAATTGTCATTTTCCCAGTTTCATCAAGCTGCAACAGGCTGGTGAGAATCAATCATTTGTCAAGAAAATGAACATGCAGAGCAGGCTGATTCGTCACTTCTATAAAACTATCGTGTGGAGTGCCTTTTTATTGAAGCATCCCTAAAGTTATTCAAGGGGTACCTTCTGGATTCCACTTTGCATTTGTACTTCAACAATTCAAAATTGTTCATTTTTAAAAATTTTATTCAAAGATCATCTTTGCAAGAAATAATATGACGATGATTGAGTGGTTAGTGGTTTCTGATGCAGGTCGGTTGCAGCAGGGATAAACTTTGACAGTCGGATCATTAAAATACAATACCAAGTAAACCACACAATAATATCCCCAAAATAAACTTATTTTAAGATTCCTCAATCGAAGTTACGTACTATTGTGTATACTGTATACATATGTTGATTAAATTAGAGAGGAGCAGGCTGAGAAGGGTGATGACTGATGAGGTTGGCAGTTGTGGGTGGGTCATAAGGTAATTCTCATCAAAGAACAGGTGTAACTGAGACAGTACAAATCATAACAAATGAAAATTTTAAAAAAATTGTCTTTTCCTTATATCTCTAAAAACATTTGCCAATCAGCCCAAGAGAGAAAACATACCACAGAGCAGCAAATGGACAATGCTCATTGAACACTTTCAAGTTGCTTGAATTGGGCCTGAAAATAATAAAAACTCAACCGTCTAAGAACAATGATCATACACAATGTGAGCATAAGATTCAAGCGTCGAATAGGTCATGAAATATCATCGACAAAAAAAAAAGGAATGGCACAAAGAATGAATTCATGGAACGGTAACCGAAACAAATAATAATAATGATTATTTGTTAGATCTTATATTGAACATTGATTTTCCATGAATCACCAAAAAAACAAAAACTGCACACGACGGAAGCAGTTTTAATTAGGAATAAAATCGTATGAATCTGAATATGCATATGAACCTTTGATCAAATTCTTTTCCTAATTTTTTTTTTTCCAATTGAAAATTGAACCACAATATAATTCTAAGCAGTCTGATTCACCTAGAATATCAGATGAAGTTGAATATGCAAACTGACCTTCGTCGAAGAAGAAGCTCTCCAGGATCCAGGCCACAATCCCTCTTCCCTCCCTTTCTCTCCGGGGCGCAGAGCTGGATGTGATCTGGCAATGGCGGAGGACTATAAATAGCGAAAGAAAAGGCGGGACTGGTTTAGTTTGATTTCAAGTGAATGGCGGTGAAGCTTCAATTACTATTATATCCCTCTTGTTGGGCCCCTTAAGAAAGGCCTTTAACCTCGTATTGGGCGTACCACCATATAAGACTTGCCCCGACGAAACAACCTCTCCCGACGAAATTTCGTCAGGAAAAGTGTAATCCGACGACTTTTTGTCGGGATAGATTTGTGCCGACGAAATTTTGTCAGGACAGGTTTTATGGCCTTTATAAAAAAAAAAAATTAAAAATTATTATTGTCATTATTTTAATTTTGAACATGTAAAATTAGTTTCTTTACTTTTATTTTTTGGCCAACTTCTTTAGTTTAATACATGTAATTAAGTAATATCATAGCCTTTTTTTAATTACTTTAATTGGTAATTATGTCTAATTATTATTTCTTTAGTGAATATTTAAATGTTTTAATTAATGAATAGTAATTATTTCTTTTTTCTTTTTTTTGGTGAACTATGTTTTAAATTTTTGTTTTCACAAAATTAGTTTGTGTAAATCCAAGTCTTGAACCAAAAACCCTAGCTTCCGAAATTGTTCCCAAACCTTTTTCGAGGCTAAAATCCATTCTTGGAATGCTAAAATATTTTGGGTACTAAAACTAAATTTCTAGGATTTTTATTAAAATATTTAATGCTAATTATTCACTAAATAAATAATAATTAAAACGTAATCACTAATGAAAGTATTTACACAAGGCTAAGATATTATTTATTGAATAAAAAAGAAAATTTTAAAAAGTATAGCCGCCCGGCTATACCCTTTCAATAGCATAATCTTGATTTCTCTTTTTAAATTACTTTATTCAGTAGTTATGTTTTAATTACTATTTAATTAGTGAATAATTAGTATTTAAATATTTGATGAAATAAAAATAATAATTACATTCATTAAGTTAATTAAAGTATTTAATTATTCACTACAGAAATAATAATTAAATAAATCTAAGATATTATTTAATTACTAAAAAGAAAATTTGTTAGACCTAAAAGATACTAAATTTATATTTATTTTTGAATAAAATCTCTCCTGACGAAATTTCGTCGGCACAAGTATAAGACTTGCCTCGACGAAACTACCTCTTCCGATAAAATTTCGTCAGGGAAAGTCTATTCCGACAAATTTTCGTCGGGATAGACCTGTGCCAACGAAATGTCGTCGGGAGAGGTTTTATGGCCTTTTATAAAAAATTTAAAAAAAATTATTATTGTCATTATTTTAATTTGAAACATGTAAAATTAGTTTCTTTACTTTTATTTTTTGGCCAACTTCTTTAGTTTAATACATGTAATTAAGTAATATCATAGCCTTTTTTTAATTACTTTAATTGGTAATTATGTCTAATTATTATTTCTTTAGTGAATATTTAAATGTTTTAATTAATGAATAGTAATTATTTCTTTTTTCTTTTTTTTGGTGAACTATGTTTTAAATTTTTGTTTTCACAAAATTAGTTTGTGTAAATCCAAGTCTTGAACCAAAAACCCTAGCTTCCGAAATTGTTCCCAAACCTTTTTCGAGGCTAAAATCCATTCTTGGAATGCTAAAATATTTTGGGCTAAAACCCTTGCCTTGCCTTGCCATGTTGTGCCTTGCCA